CCCTTCACCTGACACGCAGCACCTCATAAGAAAGAAACTTCCATAGCAGCAGCAGGCATTTTGGTCATCTATTTCTCAACAGCTTTGAAACTCAAAACCCAAACTTTGAAATCTGAATATTTTCAATAGAATAAAGTGAAAACCAAACCAAAACAAGCCTCTCTACCACCTAAATGCCCAAATATTTTAGAAATGAAAAAATCCAATTGATAAGGATAACATCAACCTTATCTGCGGTCTTACTTTCTGACAAGTTTTACAGTACAGTGTAGAAACTATCACGTGCATCTCATACTGTCCTTGCTATACAAATGAACTCGTTAGCTCTCCTTCAAATGCTTCCCCTTCCTGCTCATACTTGGTACACAAGTTTTCTAACAACTCCCCTTGTTACACTGGGTGGAACAAAAACAAAGATATGTTTCCTTAGCTCAAATTAGCTAACTTAGGTTAAAATAGCATGAAAACATCATATCTTGGGTGAGCAGATGGAGATCAATTTGGGAATCTCCACTGGGTCTGAATGAAGCAGCAAACCTGAGTTGCTTTGTCGTCATTGCTATTTTAACCTTGGCTAGCAAGCTTGGGCCAACCCACCCACATTCACAGCCAACCTCTGTTTGCAATATAAACAATTCTCATGTCATGATGGATAAAGGGCAAATCTCTGGGATTTCACGAGGGAAAAGACAACTGCATTTGCCAGCCACTGGTTCCTAATAACCACCTGTCTTCTATTAGTCCCCTAACAAGGACTGGGATATGTCTTGGGATCTAAGGCCCCTTTCAGGAGGGATGACAGGTCTTCTGGAGACTGCACTGGAGCAGCAGACTGGGAGGAAGAGGATGTCAGCTCACGGAGTGGGTTGATGCTCTGACTTGCTTCTTGAACACAGAGCAAGCAATCGTGTGCTTAATTTAAATACACATGATGAGTTGTGAGAGTGGTGAAATGGCAAATAAATTCTAGGAAATTGCATATAAAGAGGAATCATTGATATTAAATCATCTAGGATGGATGTGTTTCAAATCTAGCTCACAGTTGAAACTGTTTTACAACTATAGCTGCAGAGTTCTAACAAAGTTGTAGAATATCAGAGTATCTGCCAGGGATTTATTTTAAGGGTTGTACGATGGTTATATAAATGAACGTAAATAGATTTAACATGTTGTTGTGATCAGAACCCTTAGTGATTCCCACCGCATTTACAAACAAGAACCAACAACACTGGTGCATTTGTGTGCGCATACACAAAAGCAGGAGTCAAGGAAAATGCACCTTACTCCTCAGCTTCACAGGCAGACTTTCTGCAGACCAATCCTTCAGGACAACGATACCATTTCTTAACATTAGTATCATGGTATTTCTTTTCAGTTCTCCCAAGAGATCACTTGTTTGATCTGATCTGCTTCCTGCCTGTATTATAAAGGAAAGACTGTACAACCCAGCACACTCCTGGTACTTCATCTCACTCCAAGCTTTGCGTGCTAATTCCACCACCTCTGTACTGCCTGACTCTCCTGATGGTGCACGTGTTTGTGCCTTTGTGTGTGTACAAGCAGGCACATCTGCTAGTGACAAGCCTGAAGTGGTGGCTTTTCCTGATCTGCTCTTTACACAAAGAACAGGACTCTAGCCTATACTTAACACCAGAACACAGCTGCCAACATCAGCTCCCACCACTTTTTCTTCACAAAATATACTGCATTTCTAGTTTGAATACACCTCTCCTTTCACCTTTCTCATGACTACAGGAGGACATTCTCCGCAAGAATTTGGCCACTGAAGCACAGGGAAAGAAAAATAAAAATTCAAAATCTGGTTCTCTTCTTTGCCTACCTCCAGCAGATACCTGGAACATTTCTAAAAAGTTCATCCCAAGCACAGTCACTGAGCAGTTATGAAAATAATGGAAAACCTGTGGAGAACAAACTTCTAAAATAGCCTCAGAGGATTTAGAAATGTGCCTGTTGACACAAATGTGACTGCTAACTTCCAAGCTCTGAAGCAAAGCATGTACTTACATGCACTTACTGGCCTCACCAGCTCTTCTTAACTTTGGGATTATTCACACAGCAGAATCCTTTTGTTGGTCCATGGGAAGGACTGCATACCCTCTTGAGCCAAAGCAGTGTAATTATTTCTATTTTAAAATCACTCTAATTCATCAGTAATGTTTCAATGGGATAAGGGCCACAAAACCAAAGAGCAATTATAGAAATGTGTTTTATCTATTTAACAAATAAAGTAGAAGGTTTTTGAGAAACAGAAAGCGATGATGCACTGGCAGGGCAAAAGGGAAAACGGGGGAAATGATATTTAATCTCTGCCTCTCTTATTTTATCTCTGCCTCTCTCACGTTTGCCCTCCCCGACCATGGTTCCACTGTGGAAGCCATATGGCTTCCAACTCTTCTAAGTAGCCACTGAGAATTGTCCATAGTGGAATTCTGCCAAAGCCCTTCTTGGTTTAATGACATGGAGAAGAACACTGCGCAGTGCACAGATTCGCTGTGTCCTTAATTATGATTCTGGAGCCAGCAAGCAATGCTGGGAATTGAACCAGCAGTGCCTCAAATGCTGAAGTCAACATGTGCCCTAACCCCTGCTGCATTCAGCCTCTGTGCATGGCATATTAATGAGTCTTGCACTTGAGGTCCAACTGTCAAGCCTGCACACGAGAAATTACCTAAAGACAAAAAAAAAAAGTCCTCTTCATCCCTCTAACCTTGCATGTAAATATTACTTTATTCCCTAAGTTTGTTCAGTTCTTTAAGTAGTAACATTTTCTTTTAGGCCATCAGTTGCACTTCTACCTGTATAAATACAACTTCTCTTTAAAGACTTGAAAATCTGTCCTGCAAATGTATTTAGAACAAAAACATTAAGCCAAGAGGGCATATGAGGGGAGAGATGACTCAGTGTTAACCCTCTTCCTCATATCGTATCCAAAAATATCTGCTAAATGTTGGAGTCACGATATGGAGACAGATGAAGCTTTCTACTGCATGTTTTTATGCCTTATGGCTCTACATAGCAGAAATGCATGGTTATTACTGTGGGAACAGTCTTATTCTAAATGGGAAAAAGAAGGATGCACAGCCTCATGGCTGCCTTCACATACCAAGTAAAAAAAAAAGCCCAAATCAACCAGCCAAAAAAAAAAAACAACAACAACCACATTATTGAGACCCCCTCAATACTGTGGGCATCTGAAAGGCAGCTCAATAACTGCAAAAATCTGTGATGCATTAGCACTCAGGCGCATAACCCAACCTGGCATTGTTCAGTCTTATTTTACTTGAATTTCTTCACTTAGAAACAAAAGCTGCAAGCATCCACTCATCAATTGGAATATTGGATTCAGGGAAAATTTGAAGCATTTATTTTGGTCTTGCAGATATCTGGGGCATAATGAAGGCCAGTCGCTAATTTTCTAAGGAACGATTACTCTCCGTGTGTCTTTTTGGTGGCAGAGGCATTATACACCTGAAAGATCACCTCCAGAAGGACGTTCTCTTTATTTGGAAAGGACTGCATCTCTGGAGGGAAATGTGATGACCTATGAAAGCTGTGTTAGTAAGTCCTACTGCAAATCTGTCCAAAAGTCAGAGAAAGGGACAGCTTGTAGAGGATGAACAGAGCCAATGTAGAATGTAACTCTCCGGGGCAGCATGTTTCTCTGGTCATAAGAGGGAAGGACAACACATCATCAACCTCAAAACCACAGCCTACAGCCTTCCTAAGCAAAGATAAAAGACTTAACGTTCCTGCAAAAAAAGTAAAATAAAAATCACATACTGAATTTAATTTCTATCAAGAAATAAAGTAATTTGTAGTGTTCATAGTCTTTTCTTACCTCAGCAACACTTCAGAAACATTAACTAATTTAAGTCCACAAAAACTGACAATGAAAGCCTGCATACAGCTTAGGAAGCTACAGAATAAAAAGTCAGGAGATTAACTCGGTTACAAAGGCTACACTGAACTTGCATTCTTTGATGAATCTGGCCTGAGTTCTCAGCTAAAGCACTGCTCTGTGTCCCAGGTCTGCAAATTCACATCTTCCTTTTCATAACTTGATGGCAGCGCTCTTCTAGCATGCACACCCAGCCATTTGCCTGCCAAAACACTAACTCATCAACAGCCATCATGGCAGAGCAGACACTGCATGATGGCAGCCCACAGTGTCACATACAACGATAGCTCAGTATCTCTGGACCTGCAGCAAAGATCAGTGCTTTTTCAAATACCCCCATTCTTTCTCAAGCAAATCCACAATATTCCACCAGAGTAAAATGACGTGAAAGTACAAGTAGCAAGAACAGATGTGGGCACAGACCTAGACAGCATGTCACAGTATAAGGCAGAAGAACTGGAAGCCGTGTAAACTTATTCCCCAGCTTTTACGTGAAAGAAATCAATAAAACATCTCCCACATATTTTAATGTGGATGAACACCAAATCACTTCACGACACACTGCTCTAATTATTTCAGAGATCCTGAAATGAATCAGTATGCTACTATTATTATCTTAAAACAACATTTGGTGCAGCAGCACTAGACGCATATTCACTAAAGACCCATATTACTTGCTATTATCAGTGGTGAACTCAAAATTATAATGGCACTATTGCGATCCTAAAACCAAGAAGCATCATTCTGCTATGAATAAGCTGCTCAGGTTCCAAAATACCAGTCAAAAATGTGTTCTTTATAAGGTAATTCAGAAGACAAAGTAGGATTTGATTTTAAGAAAGACAGGAGCCGTTTGAGTCAGCAGTGACTCAGAGAGTCACAGAAGTCTCATAAAGTTTGATATAAGAACTGCTTGACTGGGCTTCATTGGTCATGCCTCTCCTTCAGCTTAATTGTGCTGAGTACCAAACTCGAAGCGTTACGTATACAGAGAGTCTTGCATAAAAGGCGTTACCTTGAAACAAAAACATGCAGTAAACAGTTTTGCCATATTTAATAAAATAATAAACTTGATGCTGACCTTTGGCAAGCGTTCGGGGTCACCGGGGTGCCGGGGGATAACCTTCTGTAACCTTTGGAAACCATAGTCAATGGTGGGTTCGTTCAGAGCTGAAACAACAACAAACAATGCAGCGATGTGACAAATGCATAGCAAACAGGCTCTACTGCACTGCTACAAACAGCACTGCACTGTCAGACCAAGCAAGGACCACAGCAAAATTTCCTCTTGCTGAAATCAGCACTGATTACAAAGTCGAGGGTGAGGTTGGCTTTGAGACTTCAGTCGAACCAGCAATGCAAACCTTCCCCTCGAGTACCTATGACAAGGTCTCTACAAAATCTGGGATGCTGTATACACATCTACCAAATAGAAAGCAATTATTATTTCTGAAAGTCAGGATGAAACTAAATTGATAAATGTTTTGCACCCCATTTTTCATGTTGTTTATTTTTCATATTCTCCTGTTACGAAAAAGGTCTTTTGTAATGGGAAGACAAGAGAAGTAACTCTAAGGGAGCCTTCTCTTCTTTCAGACTCTATTACACATTTTATATGATCCACATGCAATGATCATATACAATTCTGTTGTGAACTACAGACATTTGTCATGACAGAGGCTTTATTTTTCACCCATCAAAATGAAGTAAAGACATATCTCCTACTGTATTCAGTAGCTCAGCTCAGGCCCCAGTCAGCACTTAACTGTTCTGAAAGATCTAATGATTTTTAAAAATTCATCTGTGGTTTTAGTTCATTTTTCCCCAGCCCTTGTCCAGTAAAACAGAGGTAAACTTGAGGAGAGAGAGAGAGTGGAGGTAAAACACTTGAATCTTCAGGAGAAAGCTTGCCTGCTTTAATCACAGCTGTGATTGTGCCAAGCCTTTAAGCACATGCTTATCTGTAAGCCCGTACTTAAACTCATTTGCTTTCAGCAAAGCAAATTCAAGCATATTATGTTTTTTGTATGATTGCCTGTAATTACAGGAGACTGCATTGAATGACCTTCTAGCTATATTTCCAGTCATATGATCACTTTAAAACTCAGATGTTAGTGAGACTTCAACACATGCTTAAAATTTCCTGAGTGCTTTGGGAACGAGAACAAGAGTCAAACATTTTCAAGCATTTCTGAACTACAGTGCATCATGACCCTCCCACGCCAACAAAGACAATGAAACTTTCCACAGCAATTTGTTAGCAAATCTTTTTTATTTCACTGAAAAAATATGAGTTCTTTTACCCACTATGATATTTTCAAAATTTAGGTGGTTGTTTTTTTGTGTGTGTTTTTTTTTTTTTTTTT